CTTATTTTATACATACCTATATAAATGCTTAAAAAAAACTCAAACTTGGAAACTAATGTCCAATATTTTTATTTATCACAGTTTCCGAAATTAATTAAATCGAAACGTTTAAGTGATATTTTCAAGTGATAAGTCAATAACTCGCAAACGGTTGGTTTGAAGCACATTGTGTGTATTTCGATTTTTGCTCAGAATTAAAGAAAGAACCGAATTATGCAATAATATACAGAGAGTTCCATTTAAAAAAATGAAACTTTGATGTGCCACGACTTTATGACCGACTCTGTATACTTAAATTTATTACCCGCTAATAGATATTTATAAACACTATAACTTTTTTATTTAACTTTTTGCGGTACCTCCTATATTTTACCTAATAATCGATCGTTTCCATACATATCAGCGACCCTGTATATGATAACCCGTACAAGCAAGGTGATAAAAATATTAAACGTAAATGTCAAGCTTATTTTACCTGGATTTAAAGGGAGGTAATCAGAAATTATGAGCGTGCTAGCCTTTGGGAGGGTTATGTTGCGCTACACGCAACGTTATAAATGGTTCTAGTGCGGCGCTACTTGTTGGAAATAAATTTTAACGACTGACCACTTTATAAATATTTATTTTAATATATTTTTATATGCTCGAGGTTTACGGATTTTTATGTTCTAAAGTTAGAAGTAGGCACCTATATGAAAAATGTGGGTCAAAATTATCGCGAGGTATACAGGATGAGTCTTAAATATAAGCATTTTGGGGGGGGGGGGGGGGTGGCTGGTACATATTTTGAAACCTAGAACGTCTATCTAGGATTCAAGCAATAAAAAAACAAACACGTATTACATATACCGGATGTGTCTCAAAAGTGGCTCACCCCTATAACTATTTTATTTTTCCAGATAAAAACACGATACTTGGTATGTTAGTATATGACATAAATTAGGATTGATTGACTTATTTAATTGTTTTTGGTCACTTCCTGTTTCACCGGAAATGACTACAACTTTTTAGTTTTAAATGACACTCTCGGATTTTTGTTTATTTTATTCGATAGAAAATGACACTCTGAAATGTCAACTTTTGACATTTTCGCGTATGGTTTATTTTTAATTGTAACATGCAGTCCATAACGGCAATTTGACTCATTGACTGAAATACCAAGTTTAATTATTCGTAAAAAAATGCTTTTTTCTAATACGCTAATGAGCCACCCTTGTTCAATTTGAACAAATTTGAAATATGATTAAAAATACGTTTTGGGCAACTATTAATAGGTCAGAACAAGGCACAAAATTAGAGGATCAAATCTGTTTTTCCAAGACTCCTTGATTAAAAATTAGTGTTTTTAGCACAGCCATGGCACTCTAGATTGAAATTTAAAATACAATTTTTTTTCTATTCAGGGAGTCATTTTCTATCGAATAAAGTAAAAATATACCGAGGGTGCCATTCAAAAATGAAAAGTTGTAGTCACTTCCGGTGAAACAGGAAGTGGCCAAAAACAATTGAATACGTCAATCAATCCCAATTTATCTCATATACTAACACACGAAATCTTATTTTTTATCCGAAAGAATAAAAATGTTATAAGGGTAAGCCACTTTTAAGACGCACCCTGTATATAGTTAAAAGTATTACAATTAGAAAATTAATATACATACGTCTTAACAAATAGATAGCTTTTATCTTATACAGGGTCATTAGGTATACAAGGCAATTAGCTCCCATAATAAAAAAAAAAACTTAAAAATGTTGAATAAGTGCAAAGCTAAAGTGGTCCGATAAATAGGCCCGATTCTGCTTTGTTTCATAGATACAAGGTGTTAAAATCTTAATAATCTTTCGATTGATTATAATTTTCTTCCAAGTACTTTTAGTGATTCGAATGAAATTTTGATGTTACTATAAGTGCTACATATTTTAAAGTGGTAACCAACTCAAGGCGGAACTCAAGAACTTGGAAGATTCCATCCGCAACCTGGAATGGAAATCTTGCAATGGTCTAAGACACTCGAAGAAGTTTCTGAGCGCTTATGATCAAGAAAAATCACAGATCTTCCTGGGTCTGAGTAAGAACAATCTTCGGATTGTCACAGGGTTTTTAACAGGACACTGTCTCCTCAATGAACACCTCAGTAGATTGAAACTAAGAAGAAACGGCGAATGCAGATTCTGTGGGGAAGATGGTGAAACACCAGTACACCTCATCACTGAGTGCGCCGAGACGACAACCATTCGTGCCATGAATTTTCAGATACTGGCTTTTGTCCCAGATACTGGCTTTTGTCAAAGCCCTGGGATTGTATGATGAGTTATGATTCAAGAAAGGGGGACACAATGGATCTGTAAGGTCGAAGTGATTAACCCCCCTCCCACTCATTCTAAATTCTAAAAAAAAAATCTACATATTTTAATACTAAAAAAGTGTCGATAAATTTACAGGGACGTGCATATGAGTTATCACTGGAATATTTTTCAAAAAAAAACATGTGCGCCACTGAGCGAGAGAGAGAGGTATTGATTTATAGAGCGCGTCAACAGCGAGGGGTTTTTAGCGCTCAATAATAAGCTTTATATAACATGAGGTTATTTTAAATTATTTTAAGTTAGAAATTAAAGTTTTTTCGTTATGTTGATGCTGTCTAAAAATTCCATAACTTTATTAATCTTCGAAATGTTAAAAGTCGCGAAAATATTCTCATAGGTAACAGCATTAAAGAATCTAGACCTATGGGAGGCAACAGGTAAGCATTCAAAAAGAATGTGTCTTATTGACATTAATTTGTTTCATAAGGTGCATTTCGGAGGGGGTTCATTTCTGATAATATATGATTTGGTAAGATATGAGTGTCCTGTGAGGGTTCTAACAACTTTCCAGAAAGATCCGCGTTCAAGAGAATATATATTTTGACACAGATGAAGAAGTAGCATATGTGATCTAAGTTTATTAGTTCCGTCGAGGATGTCCCATTCATTTTGAAGTATACTGAAGAACACTTTTTTGTGGGAATTTCTGAAATCGACAACGGATGGAGTTCCTTCAATATTCTGTAAGAGCGTTGCCTCCTTAGCCAATTTGTCTGCTCGTTCGTTACCAGTAATGTCAGAGTGTCCAGGAATCCACATAAAGTTAACATTGTAGTTTCTTTCAGTAAGTTTATACAGAGAAGACCAGGCTACTAGTAACATAGCAAGTTGCCGGACGAATTTACGTTTACCCAATTTGCGCTCGTACTCGAGATTCACTGCCGGCTAGTCGGCTAGTCAGGCAGTACGCAGTTGCAGTTGTGCTTGGACGGGTCGGTCGTGACAGACTAGGAATACGACGCGAGGAGTGCCGAGTATTTATTATTTACATTTTAAGTGTTTACCTTCACTTAAGGTAACATTTAAAATAAAAATACTTAAATCTTTATTATTTGAGTGTGTTTACAAGCCAAAACTAAAAATAAATAAATTCTCTAAACCCAAAAAAAAACTAAAATATTACTCTAAATAAAAAAAAGTTATAACAAGTGTTGAAAAAGACCACCTTCTTGTGCTAGACAGAAGCCTAGGCGGTCGTAAAATCCCCGTCTGACATTGGCTAACATATTAGGGCTAATAGTTTGGAACGCCTCTCGTATTTTTACTTGAAGCTCATCCAGATTATTAGCCTTATTATGACCAAACACTTTAGGTTTTACATAACCCCACAAAAAGAAATCATTGGGAGAAAGATCTGGTGATCTAGCGGGTCACAAAATAGTTCCATATCCACTAATTAAACGGTTAAACACTTGCTTTAACTCCTGTTCTTCATTAATGAACACATCAGGCTTCTTCTGTTTTTGTGGGGACACGCACCCATGTGTTTCAAAATTATTAATAACTCTTGATATAGTAGGTAAAGATAGAATTGCCCTGTTTACAAAAGTTTGTGGAAAAATTGTTTGTATATCTCGATAAGACCTATTTTGGAAATACCATTTTACAATTTGAATTTTCTTAAGAACTTCGTAAACATCCATTATTTTACTTAAAAAAAAATTTACACGAGAACTGTCGCGAGAATCTATGTATTCGCTTTGGCTATTAAAACACGAATATATACAAATTATGAAACATTCTTATCACATATCTACCTATTTTTATTTTATCGCATTTTTTCGCCTGCTTTTTATCCGGCGGACGGGTATACGCTAATTCGTCCGGTTCTGCCTATGTTACTACTACGGTGGTCCGGTCTGTATACTAGATCTCGAATGCTGCAAGTTAGAGATTTACAACTTTCGCATGTTAATAATATTATTTTTTTTAAGGTTGTTATTGGACTTGACTCAAGGTAAATTAATAAAATTGCTTTTATCTCATCAAGGAGGTTGAAATCGACAAAATATTAAGAGATAACTTTTAATCGGCATTAAACTGCTTATACTGTTTCACTAACAAGAGAAAAAAAGTCAGTGGCGTACATGCTTTTTTTTAGAAAAATATTCCAGTGATAACCCATATGCACGTCCCTGGTGAATATGTCGACACTTTTTTGACTTTAAAATATGTCGCATTTATAGTAACTTTTACCCTCAAAATTTTATTCGAAACGCTAAAAGTACGTGAAAGAAAATTATAATAAATCGAAAAAATATTAAGATTTTAACACCCTGTAGCTGCGAAACAAAGCAGAATCGGACCTATGTTGATATGAAAAATAAATCTTATTTTTACGTGAGGAATCTCGCTACGAGAGATGGCACATGTTTTTTGAAAAACCCTGTATATTTCTACGAAGAACGGTGAAATTTTTACCCAATTATTAATTATAACATTTTTATGTTCTTTAATAATAAGAACAACGGTAATACAACACACAGTATACAGCCAACAACCGAGCTAAAATTCTAGAACTCCAACCTCCTCCCTAACAATCTTAATTAAATCTGCAACTGTCATTAACCGTTTCGCCCGCACCAATTAATTTCACCCCCAATTAATCCGGACATGTCCCGTTCCCGTTCCAGGTCGCCTGGCTGCGGGTGGACACCCAGACCATCCTGACCATCCACGGCCACGTCATCACCAAAAATCACCGGATCGCCGTCACGCACACCGAGCACCGCAACTGGTATCTGCACATACGTGACGTCAGGGAGTCGGACAAGGGCTGGTACATGTGTCAGATCAACACGGACCCGATGAAGAGCCAAGTGGGCTATTTGAACGTTGTCGGTAAGTAATTATCAGGCGTTTTGTTTCGTTTATTTTATACTAGGTGTTTCTCCAAAGTGGCTCATTCCTAAAACTTTTTTATTTTTTTCAGATAAAAATACGAGATTTATAGAATACGTTAGTATAATATGACATTTTTTCGGTCACTTCCTGTTTCACCGGAAGTGACGACTAAGGTTTTTTTAATGGTACTCTCGGTATTTTTTCCGTTATTCGATAGAAAATGACACTGAATATAATGACGTATCATATATCAGGTTTTGACATTCTGGCTTAAAAAAGTCGTATTTTAAATTTCAATCTAGAATGCCATGGCTGTTCTAAAAACACTAATTTTTAATCAAGGAGCCTTAGAAAAATAGATTTGATTATCTAATGTTTTTGGTATCTTATCCTGGCCGGTTTAAAGATGCCAAAATCGTATTTTTAACAATAACTCAATTTTTTTCAAATGGAACAAGTGTGTCTCATTGCCATATTTGGAAAAAAGCATTTTTTACGAATAATTTGGTACCACACACTTAAGGCACTCTCACGACTCGTCTACTTGGCAAGTACGCCAATATTTGCGTACTTGGCAAGTATCCACCAGTCCCCACTTTGTAAACAACATCGGCAAGTGTGGCGCTCACACGACGCACAGTGGTCCAGAATTTGAAAAAGCTGCTCATTGGATATTTTATTGATTAAATTGGGAATTTTTGAAGATAATATGCAAATTTATGAATATTTACTGTAATTTGTTATAAAAGTAGGTATCAAAAAGGTATGTTAGGCTATACTTAACTAATTTTTATTTATAGTGTCCGAAATTGATGTTTATATTGCGATCGCGGAAACTGCTAGAGTTAAAAAAAATGGTTAAATAGGGAAAGTTTTCAGACAATTCTGTTTGTAATCTATGTTTGTGTTTCTATTTCTATCAATTTTGGTTTTTGAGATATTTTGAAAAATCTCAAAAGAGGCATTTTTGAAAAGACCATGTAATTTCATTATTTATGAAAATTTTTGATATCTGTCAAAACTTTCTTAAAACAACTTTTTAAGTAGATAATATCTGTGTAATCAGACTTATGGCAAAACAACGAAAAGTATGATTTTTAATAAATTTGGCAACTTGAAATACATGAAATATTACAAAACCCTTTGGAAAAATAATTAAAGAACTAGACAACGTTTATTTTACATTTTACAAAAAGGGATTTCAATAAATAAATAAATAAACAATCATGTTCTCAAGAAAATTCATAGTAATTAAGTGCGAAATAATTTTTTATGAAGTTATATTCAAAATTACAATATTATTTAAAAATTATATCGTATCCTCGTATTCATGAGTCGTTTTTTGGGAAACGGATAGCTCAACAAATTGTTTTTTTGCTGATGGACCAGACTCTTCAAAATTCATGAGCTCTACTTCCTCTTCAATAATCGGCTGACTTAGCCAGACATTATTTCTTGCCCAAAAAATTATTCCAACAATAATTGCTGCTTCGCCATCTGTGTACCCAACCACTTAAAAATGATTTGATCTTACCTAGCTGTGCCGAACCACTCTTTCGTTCGTCTAAAAAAAACACAAATGTCATTTGCTATATCGATTTCCTTTCTATTTTGAAATCCATTTTTTAGAAAAGGCGCAAACGGTTTGGCGTGTGATTACACCTGATGTGACGACTTTTTCTGTCATCACTCAAACAGAAAGAAAAAGGTATCCGTTGCTCAGGGTTAGAGGAGAGCTGGGTTCGTAGGTAAGACTTGTGACCTGTGGTGACTTAATAATGTTGTTAAATAATAAAATAAAAGTAATAATGTATAGGCTGCAAAGATTCTAAAATTGATGTTAAGTATTCAAATAGTAATGGTCAAAGACAGTAAAAGGGCGCCACTTACTTTGGGTATGAAAAGGTAAAGTAAGAAACCAGTAAGAAAATTTGATCATGAAATAGCTAAAATAAAATAATCAACAGCAATAAGGGTCTATTATGTTCACCAAGAATAAAAGTCAGATATAACTATCCTACGTTGAACATTTATTTAAAAACGAACACAATTATCAATCAGTTTAAACCCAGTTTCAATTATCCCAATGAAATCGTTAGTTACTTTAAGTAAACACAAATTTAGTTAGAGTTCTCTCCATATATCACATCTCTCCACATATACTATACTACGTAATATATATAAACAGGTGAAATTTATGTAAGTACCAATACGATGATGTTTCGAAACAAGTCGTGTACAATAACCTTCAAAAATGAATCCGTGTTAGCGATTCTCACATAAAAGATCATACTGAAGTAAAACGTACCGTTAAGGACAAAGCATGACTTATAATGTTAACTACAAGGTAAATTTTGACTATAATATATGGAATAAATGACAACAATTTACAGAGATATTCAAAATATTGTCTCAAAGTAAAAAAAATTTAGGGAATACCTTGTGTGTTGAACTTAGAACTTATCTGTATTTTTTTTTTTTTTGTGACGTAGTGAACAGGTAGGCAGGCAGTCTCCAGACTAACGGAAGTGGATGTAGACTCTTCGATAGTAGCAGGAGTCTTCGATATCAGTAGAATAAATGTAGAGTCATAAATACTGTCTCAAAAGTGGTTACTCATATGCCAATTACTTATACGTCAATTTCTTATACGCCAGTTACTGGTCTGAAAATCAGCTGTACACATTCCAAAATATGGCCAAACTATATGCTGATCCAAACCAGTAATGCACAATCAAACATTATCAAAATAAATAAAAAACGGGAATAATGTGATCTTATTCCTGGAAAAGGCCAAAAAAAACACGAACTAGGCTCTGAACAGTATATTCTACAGGATTTCAAATCTCCACCTTTGGATACCCGTGCCTTTACTGTTAGGAAAAGTGTTTCAGAAAGCCCTTTTTCTCTGAGATTCGTCGGACGCTGAACCACGCGTCTTTTTCTGATCTCAATCTCTCGGACCAAGCCTCCTTCCCTCTTTTTCGCAAAACGGAAGTCTTCCAATTGACAGGTCATATGACCAAAGGCAATTAAGTGAACTCTATCGTCTATTCTGAATGAAATTTGTTTTTATGGAAAGGAACCGCTACCTGTACCGAATGAAGTTTAACATCTAGCGAATAGATGGCGCCAGCAATATTAAAATTTGGAATTTTATAAAAAGAAAAATAAAACGCAACACTGAAAGTCAAAAAGGTAAACCTAGAAGTGGAACAAAGAGAATAGTAGGTATTTTAACACAGAGTATTTTCAGTTTCATAATAGTTTTGGAACAGTTACTAAATAAAATACTTGACTTTATTACTTTAAATAATTATTACTGCGCAAGGGGGCTGCAGGGGGGTACGAAATTTGGACGGTAAAAACCTATTAGTGAACAGAATATTTCTGTAAAAAAATTATAACATGTTCTTTTATTCAATATATTATTGTCGGAAACATTGGTCAAAACCATTTTAAGTGAAGGTAGATTAAGGTCTGGTATCAATAATAAATGTATTAAATATAATATTATATAATAAATATAATATATAATTAAATTTGCAACTCGAACTTTCGCATCTACGAGCAGCTTTTTCAAATTCTGAACCATTGTGCGACGGCGACGTGTCCTTTCAACAAGTAAGCCAGCACAAACATTGTTTAAATCATTGGCAAGTAAACAGTATAGTCGCATCGATGAAAACCGGTCGTCCTCAAATTGTCGTTCCTAGTGTGCTATTTTTCTTTTTAAGTTCTTTTACTGTACACTGCAATACGATTTCTATGTTCTTGAACAGCAGTTTGAAAGAACAGCAGTTTGAAAAATGCAATTGCAGTTTGAAAAAGCAATTTAGTGTTTTTAAAGAAATATCTAGTTTTCGGTTGAATAATTAGAAAAATATATATTACTACCAATTCTGAATTATTAATATTGTGAATTATCGCCATATTCTGAAATACCGAAATAAAAATGTCAAAATGCAAAACAAAACAGGGGAAAACCTAAATCTAAACTATTATTTTTCGTTGTAGGAAGCAAATTAATATTTAAGTATGTTTTTATTACAATACATAAATTTATAACATATTATAATACTAAGAGCAAGATGCACGCTTGTCGCCCATGCGTTACATCTCTAGTTTTTGCCATTTACGCGTGGACTACTCTGGTTTTTCCTTTGTACAGCAAAATAACCAAGCTGTAATATCTCTGGAACTAAGCGTATTATTGCTTTCTTTTTTCTCGAATGAAGTTAACAGTTGTCTATAAAGTTGTATCGCTATCTTAATTTCTATGAAAATGTGACATATCTGTTTTTTCCCGTGTAGTCTTCATTTGTCCACTCCATTTATTGCTGTGGGAACGATTTCGGTATGTCGCCAGTATTGTTAAGTTATTAATGTAAATTTTTGATATTATATAATCTATTATTGTCTTTTAACATTTTAAATTATCCGCAGTTAACTCGACATACTCTATAAGAGTACAATTATTATTTGCGCAGTCGTTTTTTTTGCGCCTCGGCAAGTATAGACAAGACTAGCCAAGTACACTTGGCAAGTGTACGAATAATTATTGCGATCCTTTGCCTCGGGCTATGTTTACCGACAAAGAGTGGGATTGCGACGAGTGATAAAGGAAACCGTTCTCACGACGCGACATGGCGAGTATATATTCCAAAAACAAATGTTTGTCAAGTACACGAGTCGGGAGAATGCGCCTTTAGAAATACCTACAGCCGATAAAAATTTTATCGGCAACATAACGTTCTTGTTACCTTTAAACTTTGTAAAAATACCTTTTTGCCATTTTATTTTTATTCCCTTTCCTTCTAATCGAGTTACCTTCGTCGTTACGTGTCGCCCGTCGATCGGGCCATCGACTTCTGGCTTTCCTTTTGTGACAGAGATATTAATAACCGGAATACTACACCACCTTCGAGAAGTCATTAATTTCCTTAACGACCATTAGTCGACTACAATGTTGGGAGCGATTTTCCGCCACGGTGATTTTCTCTTTTTCCTCCCGCGATAATCGATAAGGAAACGCGTCTTGCACCGTTTCCAATACAACCTACACGCCCTCGGGGAATATTACGAACAAATCATCGGCGATACGAGCTGCGATATGTCGTGTCTCAACGTCAAGACATTTGGCATCGATGTATTTTAATTCTATTCGTAATGTTTGGATGGATTCTAGAAAGTAGAATGTATGGGAGGAGGGTCCCAAAGTCCCAAGTAGCATTTTTGGACGTATTTTAGGTAATGTTTCTAATAATTGTATCTGTTTCTTGACACAAAATGGAAACGGTATGCCACAAATAGGAAACATTTTCGAAACCTATAACATATACCTAATCTATACTAATATATAAAATCCTTAAGTGACTGATATACTGATTAATCACGATCCTGCTCAAACCACTCAACGTAAGAAGCTCAATTTTGGCATACATGTTGATTCTAGTTTCGACATGTTGATACATGTTGATTCTAGGGCATACATGTTGATTCTAGGTTCGATAAGAAGGGATTTTTCGAAATTCCAGTTCCAAGGGGGTGAAACCATCCCCTCAAATATTACAATATTTTTTTATTTAAAAAACGGTCAATTTTCCGAAAAAACGCTTAAACACGTATATTTTATTTTGTTTTTTTACATATTTTAAGATTTTTTTAAAAATGTATACAGGGTGTTTCAAAAAAATCTGGTCATTGATTAATCACGATCCTGCTTAAGCGCTTGACGTAAAAAACAAATTGACTTTAGAGTGTAGAGGTTCGAAAAGGGATTTTTCGAAACTCGAATTCTAAGGGGGTGAAACTATCCCTCAAATATTAAAATATTTTTTATTTAAAAACCGGTGAGTTTTTCGGAAAAACTCTTAAACACGTATATTTTATTTTGTTGTTTTACATATTTTAAGTTTTTTCATAAAATATGACCAACAAGTGCTTCATATTGAGAAGAATTTCAACGCATAAGTCACAGAACAGCTATCTAGCAACTACCGCATCTAATCGTTCAACCTTGACAAGTGAAAAAATGCGTAAACATCTAGAAATAATAAGAAAAAAACAGCAAATTGGTCGAAGGAATTTACCCTTGTCATTTGCTCTGATAAATGTTTAAATAAACTTTTCAAATTTCAATCCTTCATATTTTCTCAATGACTCGACCGATTTTCAAAAACGAAGCCGGAGAGTATAGAGTATAGAAAGCCCTTTTCATTGCGGTACCACTTGACCCCCCTTTCCGTTTGAAAAAAATTGGTAGATGACACCCCCGCTTAGAGGGTTGAAGATTTTGCAATCATTTTTGAGGCTAAAGTTGCCCCCCTCACAAGCAAAATTGACGTGTTTTTGAATTCTTTGAAAAAAAAATTACCCTGGCCGTTATGCCTTGCGGAACGTTTTCGATGGGCTACATAATACTCTGTATGCTACAAAAAAAGTTGGAAATTAGTGATTGTTAACAATTACTAGTAAAAGCTCACATTCACTGATTTGCTAAGACTACGCCAGTAAAAGTTCAACAGCTATTTTTAAAACCAAATTTTACTAGTGAATGCTAATATTCCCTGGACGGGAGTGAGTTTGAAAAACTCAGTTAGTGCGGTTGTCACATGTTGTAAAATATATGGATAAATAAGGGTAAGTTGAATAATAGGCATTATAAGGATAAAATTAAATTGGGCTAAACATGTAAAATGTGGGAAATTAAAAGACAAGGTTTTTTACAATCATGACTTGAGCACAAAAACGAAACTGGCAGTGTACCGAGCAATAATAATTCCCACCATGTTATATGGAAGCGAAACCTGGGTGCCGTACCGCCGACACATGAACGCATTAAACAAGTTACAACAGAGATATCTTAGACAATTCTTAAGAATAAAATGGTTCTATCATGTCTCAAACATATCGGTCCTTGAAAAGGCTAACTGCGAGAGTATTGAAGTCATGATTACAATGTCCGGCTAAAAATGGGCTGGTCACCAATGCAGAATGCAAGAAAACCGCATACCTAAATCTCTGCTTTACGGTGAGCATGGAGACGGTAAAAGGAGGCCGGCTGGACAACTCAAAAGGTTCAAGGATTTTTCCACGAAAACTTAAAGGGTATTAACAAGCAGAATGAGTGGGAAGAAGCAGCTCACAATAGAACGGAATGGAGAAAAATTGTAAAGTCAGTTAACAGCGACAACTAAAAAGTAAAGAAGCAACAAAGCAATGAGATTTTTGAATGTCTGGAGTGCGGTAGACAGATAACATCACGTATCGGGCTTTTCAGTCACAGAAAAGCTCATAAAAGAAAACGCCTTGGGTGACCATCTTCTGATGCGTGTCAAATACTCGTCAGCGAGTAATGGCAGTATGTAGTAGTAGTAATTATGTATGGGTAGTGGTTGTTATTACATTTTTTTTTAACTAAATCAAATCATTTCTGTACCGTATAATAAATTATCATAAAATGACATAAGAAGAATATCTGTATTTATACTCACCAAATGTCCTTACTTCAGCTGTTTTAATAATTATAGTACTATAAAAACTTGAAGAATGCTTAAATGCAAAAATTGCAGAACAAAATCAAAACAATAATAGTGTAAGATTATGTTCTCATATATGACAGAATATGAAATAAATTATGGCAACTTTTTAGGCACAAAACGAGCACGAAATCTGTAAATGTGAGCCAGATCTGTTTAAGCACTGTCACAAAAATTATAGAGAAATTAAAATTTACTGCCATTGCATAGTCAATTATTGGAGCTAGTAATCAAAAAAGATTTTTTAAAAATCCCTTTTGCAGATAAAAAAGTATGATGTTACAAAAGTAGCATAAAATACAGTGACCCATTTCGTGTCCATCAGTATATTTTAAGCATTCAATATGGTGCGAAACCGATAAAATTCGCTTGCGTGTCTGGCTAAAACAATTTCGCTGTGTTTATTCAGCTTTTCTTTGTCATTCTAATTATTTTATGTTTACACCCGTACCAGGATATACCAGTCAAAACACATTTTAATGATTTATGATAGCATTTATTTATTTCAATGTCAAAAAGCTTTATTATTTCTTTATATTTTTTTAATCAAGATAATTACTTAATATTTTATTTATCCGAATATATTTATAAGAGAAAAATTGGTCAAGTGTGAGTCGGACTGGCGCACGAAGGGTTCCGTACCATTCATTATCTATACAACATTAAGTTTATAGTAAAAATAGTAATATCAAATATTAGACCAGTGTTTACAAGGTCAAATTCGATTATCAAAATATAAGTCATTTACGTCGTAGAAAGCCTTGTCTAGTAAATAAGATTTCATTGCTTTGCGAAATGAAGAAAATGATGATATGGATTTGATTTCAAATGGCAGGTGATTGTGCATTTTTTTCGAGTTGTATAATATTGAACTTTTAACTAACTCTGAGCGTGGGGTAGGTAGATAAAGATCTTGCTCCGCGTTCCTGAGTGGATAAGTGTGATACGACCTTTCTTGAGAAGCTGATACATGCTTACGTATTAGGCAAACGGATTCAAATATAAATAAGGAAGGAAGAGTTAATATTTTGCAATGAGTTCTGCTGTTTAGTCCCAGAGAATATCGAACAGCTCTCTTCTGGAGCTTGAAAATGCGACCAAATTGAGTCGCACAACACGTACCCCAGAATGGAAGGGCATATCTGAGGTGCGACTCAAAAAGTGCATAACAAACAGTTCTAGCCACTGACAAGTTAAGCTCCTTAGAAACAGATCTTAATGCAAAACAGGCAGAGCTTAATTTTTTCGACAAAGCGTCGATATGCATGTCCCATTTCAGAGAATTGTCTACAACAAGCCCTAAGAATTTTACAGGTTTTACGACGGCAATGGTGGTGTTGTTAAGTACAAAAGGCTGCAGCGAGTTTTTATACGACAAAGCTTTAGTTTTAGAAATTTTGAGACTCAGGAGGTTCGAATCGCACCAAGATTTAATGGTGATTAAGTCATTTGATATAATCCTATGAAGTGCTGTGACGTCCTTGTTGCTCCAAGTGAAGCTAGTGTCGTCCGCAAAAAGACATATTTTTCCACTGATCTTTATGTTAACAATATCGTATTATTCCTAAGTACTAATATCCATTTTCTTCTGTTTGTTCTAGTACCACCAGATATTCTGGATTATCCGACCAGTGCTGACATGGTTGTCAGAGAGGGATCCAACGTCAGCATACGTTGTGCAGCTACAGGATCACCGGAACCCTCTATAACGTGGAGAAGAGAAGGGGGTGAAGCTATTCCACTACCAAATGGACAAGATGGTAAGATATAATATCATCTCTCCAAAAAAATCCTATATGGGTATTTCGCCACGAAAGGAAAACCTACAAAATAAAATACTTATTTTTTGTCAACACTGCTGCGTTAATCCAACGGAGACTAATAATTGTCAGCAGTTACTTTGGTTGGTTAGGAATTACAAATTTGCCAAACGGGCAAAAAAATGCTTAACGTTTCGGATAGTTTATCTATGATATTACCACAAAAAAAAATTGAACAAAAAAAAACAAATTATTTTTTGTTCATTTATAAAAAATATTCAGAGTTATTTTTTATATAAGAAGATAATGGTATTTTACGGTCGACCGAAAAGATTAATTTACGAGCGATGAAATCGCGAGTGAATTAATTTCTGGAGACAATTATGCAATTTTATCGTCATGTATAAAACAATATTTTTTTCCTTAGCGAGTTACGTTTTAAAAAATATTCAGAAATTATTATTTCAAGGAATTTATTACGAGTAGAAAAAAATATTGTGCTGGGTTGGCATTGGTTTCTACGTAATTTGACAAATAAATAAAACTGTCTCTTTAGTTGTCAGTTTTGAGTCAATATTTTTTAATTCTCTTTCGTGTCGATTGCTGATTGAATTGGAGCCAGAAATGGCTCAAAACAAAATAAGTAAATTACCAACAGATCCAAAAAAAAATCCAAACTACTTCCATTTAAATCCCGAATAACTTATGAAAAGGAATACAAACGTTTTCAAAAATGGAAGCAATTAAAAAACGTGCGAGAAGAAATAAAGTTTTTAACCTATCCTCGCTGTAAAAGTTACACTGTAAAAAAAAATGAGTGAAATTTCACTCAGATTTCACTCAATACTTTCTCAATTTCTGTCCACACCCGATTGAGTGAAATTTCCACTCTACAGAACCGAGTGAATCTTCAATTCTCAGAGTGAAAAGCACTGAGTGTTTTCACTCAATCGAGATTAGACGAAAGACTCCTTTTTTACTCATTATTGTTTACCTTGAGTAGGATTTTGATCGATTTTGATAATTTATTCACTTTAAAATGAGTGAACTCACTAAGTGTTGAGTTCAAGACACCTTTTATTGAGTGACTTTTACTCAAATTTGTGTTACACTTAACTCGATTAGTACTCATATCTGAGTATTAATTTCACTCAGTATTGAGAAATATATTCTAAATTATTTTTTTAAAAGCTATATGTAAGCTAACTTGTTATTTTATAACAGGTGGGCAGGTGCCTTTCAAAGGTAAGTTTCAGTTTAGGACATGGTCTCGAACATGTCCATTTCCTAAAATTCACTTTTGGGAGGCATCTGGTCACTTGTAATAAAATAACAAGTTAGCTTACATAGCTTTTAAAAAAATCATTTAGAATATTTCGTTTTTTTTAACAAACCAAATAAAAAACTGTAGAACCTTCAAAAATATTTTTATTTGTCATTTTTATTTGACAAAAAAACAAATAAAACCAAATATAACACTATTATTATAATATCAAAAACATTTTAAAAAGTTTTCAACTCTTTTTGGAAAAAATACAGGAACTTTTTAAGCTAGATGTCTAGAAAAGTTGCATCACATCGCAAAAATCCGCTTTATTAAGAGCATTCGTCAGCTCGGCTACCAACATTCTCGAATATTTCTAATTTCTAAACTAACTTTTAATAACGAAAATCCTCCGGAAAATCCAGATACTTTTCCTCCTGAAAATTAAAAAAAAATGTTATTCTGCCAAATGTTCCAGTTCCCAGTTCCAGATTGAGGGAAAGTACCTAGATTTTCGCTACGCTAATTAGTCCAGGAAACATCCGAGCATTGCGGCAATCAGTAGACGCAGTCGAATTTGAATATATGTTAGGCGGATTTCTGCGATGTGAAAAAAAATGTTCTTAACATAAAACATATTTAGGAGTTATGAGTTCGTATTCGCTTCACCACGCCACGCGGCCACTGTCACACTTTACATCACACACACATACACTATGGACTTGTAACCTGGGCACCATAGAATAACTAACTGAAAGAAATGAAAACTCCTATGTTAAAGCCTGGAAACACGCGCTCGACGCGATCCAAGCGGGCTACTGGCAGAATTAAAAGTTCGCGCCATATTTTTAAATGGACCTTTACTGCCAGTTCATAAGTTTTTTACTTATATTTGGTAATTTCAATCTAGATTATGAACTTATTTGTAACAAAACATTTTACAAAATAAAAATAATGTATTTTGATACAAATAAATTAATAATCTAGGTTGAAATTATCCCTGAAATTAGAATAAAACACGAAAAATTTGTAACTTGATTATTTTATTATAACATTGTTAATAAAATTACATATAACACATTCAACACTATACAAGTATATATAAAAGTTATCAGAATTTATACAATCAGTTATAAGTAATTATAAAAAAGGTTATAAATTATAAATAAATAATTCATTATATAAAAGACATATAGTTACCGTGAATATAATTTGGTATAACTTTAATCTCAACTTTAATGACCTATTCAAATAGAAACATCTTACAATTCACATTATATAATACACAAAGCCAAGGGACAAAATTGTTATTAAATCTATTCTCGATGACTCGAAGCATTTTTTTTTCAAATAAAACAGGACATATAGGGCTTATAAATAATACAAGGGTATAGAAAATATATAAATAAGTAAATACAAATATATTTTCAACCTAATGATTAATGATTATACTCGTTTAAATAAATAAATGATCTTTTTAAAATTACTTGTTTGTCTTTGCAAATTTGTATATTTAATATTTATCTAAAAGCGTACACTTACATAAATTACTGCACAACCTTTAAAATTAAGCTTTTAATATGTTATACAAATTCTTGATTCGATATAAATACACTTAAATAAAACTTTAAAATTAATGATCTTCCAAATTTCTGAGACAGCCATTTTGTTGAAAGAATTTGTTTTGATTATGAGAAATTTCATAAAAATTATCACAGGGATTAATTAATCTTATATATGAAACTACTTGGCTTTTAAATTTCACAATCCTATCGTCCAAAATACTCTAAATTCGCAAAAATCCGTAAATATTCCCATAAAAACAAATCACAATTCACTTCCACTTCACAGAAACTGACAGACATTGCCAGATATGGAATGACGTTTATTTTTCAATTTATTTTACTGATCTAACTGATCCGGGTCACTTAGAAATTAAATTTTTATTAAATTATTTAATTATAATTGTTTCTGGCGAAAGCAACTTCATATCAATGTTTATTCATAGGGTAACAAAGCACATCACTGTTAAATTATCAACATTTTATATAAATATTTATATTTTTCAACTACTCCAATTACTCCACAGAGAATCAAACGAATTGTTAATTAAACTATACTCTGTGGATGACTTGATAAAATCATGGTGAAATTAAAGTCCCTAGATGCATATCTAGGGACTTTAGATGAAATTTCTACGCAGCGCCATCTATCCCTCTACTGGCAGAAACTCCGCCGTGTTTCCAAAATTCAAATGGCAGTTTCATCCGCCTGCTGGGCACCTTCGAAGGAACAAGACAACCTACGACTCGAACAGATAATTAAAAACTGAGGAACAGGGAAATAGCTTATTCGGTATCGAAGAAGCGCGTATGACGTATGATTAGTAATGAGCGAAAATACTCTAAACTGGGTGATTTCACTCAAATTTTTATTGTGTAAAACTATAACATGAGTTTTTAAGTGAATTTTTCTATTCCATTACTCAAAGATAGGGGTTATAACTCGAACATGAGCTTATTCAATAGCTATTGATTAAATAGAGATCATATTTGAGTAAAATGATGAATTTACTCTATTTTAGATAAAAATGTACTCAATTATTTCACTCAAAAAATTCACTCCCTGAGAAATATGTGTTCACTCAGGCTGATTTTTTACAGTGTATCATTTAATCCACCAAAGTAATCTACCCTTGAAGTTAAAGTACTATTTTATCTACTATTTTTAATAAATATAAGGCAATTTTAACAGTTGCTATGGAAAAAATGACAAAATGTTCTTTATTTTAGTCTCAAGTTCAATTAGAACTAACTAATAAACTTATTTTATATTCTATTTTGAATCATAGTTTTTATATTTAAGCTATTATTTGTTTTTATCTGATCTAATACTTTTATAATTATTGTAATGCTGAGAATTATAAACCTGTTAATAAATCAACAAAGTACGCCTTTCAAATTTGTTATAATAGAATTTCCTCCAAAATTACTCTGTAACTACAATATTTCACTCAATTACTGGTCAAAGTAATAAATAGCTCTGTTGCCTTTGAACATAACTTAGTTATACTGGCATAAAGGATCATAATACTGTTGTTGTGTTAGGTTATTTTGATCATATACATCTAGATTTCAAATAATGGTTTAAATATCGATATTGATATTATGTAAGCATCGGCTGATGAAATTTCAATGTGCTATGTGGGCATGGGATACACATCAAAGTAAAAATCTGCCCCCGCGGCTTTATTGACTCGCACTCAGGGGATCGATTTGGTTTTGAATCAAAATAATTCACCTAAACTTTTAGCTGTTCCACTCAAACGGGTTTCGAGATTTTCAAAAAAGACTGTTTTTTCAATTTTATTTTTATTTGTAGAGTAAAATTCAAAATGAATTAATGATGATTTTTTTTCTAATTTTTAGAAGTTTAAGACATGAAAAAATAATATGATCATGATTCTTAAACGAAAAGCCGATCTTTAGCGGTGGAAAGAAAATTAAAATCTTAATTTTTTTACCTTTGTAAAATATATCATTCACTAAAAATCGTCAGAAAATGTCTTTTATACTTCTTTACACTCAGGATTTTTTTAGAATTTTTTGAAGCGGTGGAACAATATGAGAAAATTAAACTACTTAGTTTTAAGTAACTTATATATTTTTTAGTTTAAAAAACTGCGTAGAAAATATTTTTTACTTCAAATTCACAATGATATTGCTTATTATACATT